CCCACCTTGACCTCTCTGCTTCAGTCACTTTCATAGCCATTGTCAAGCCAGCAATGGACTGGTTCTCTCCGGTGTGGAGGATCCTGTAAGCTGTCACTAGGTACATCTCAGAATACCGATTCCTCTTATAGTTCAGGCAGAACCTCCTGGACATTTTAGGGCCTTAAGACTAGCCTAGAAAACTAATCACCATCAACACTTCTTAAGAAGTTAGGGAAAAAGAAAAGGAAAATGTGGGTAATATATACAATTACAAAGTAATATCGGTTAATTTATACAAATATCTATTTATATGTATATTCTAAACATGGTAATGAATAAACACTGTGGTTGGTGTTTATCATTTCTCTTTCCACTACTCATTCCATGTTCTCTCACCCTCTGCTGCTGCCTCAGCTGGTCACTGGCTTCACCTGATGGGGTGACTCGAGCCTCCATTCCTAAAGGCCCTGGACCCTGATTTGTGAGCAAGGCATTGGGGTGATACCAGGGGCCTTCCCCCTCTAGCCCCTTGCCCTCTCAGACTAGGCTTCTTCTGGCTGACGGGAGTGACACCATTGACTGGTCACTGGTTCAGAACATACAGCACTACACCTTGTAGTTCAGCAATGCCAGCCCTGTGGATCACAGTCCATGTCACACCAAGATGGCTGCTCACAGTAGGTAATCTGACTTGCCTGCTGCTGGGCATTTTTCCCCTAAGTGCCTCGTAGTTCACACAACCAACCCCATAAGGGACCTGCTGCTGCTGTGCCCCCCTGGCAAGGGAGATGACCAGTTTGACTAGGTAGGTTGGGAGCAAGGGTCTGGGCCCAGGTTTCTGCCTGGCATGCTGCACTGACCCCTGCTCCCAGCACCTCCCATGGGGGCACAGACCCTGACCTGGTGACTGGCCCTGGATGACAAGGGCAGGAAGGCCCAGGCCCGGTTGAAGGACACGTAAGGGTCACTTCAGATGCCTTTGATCTCACTAGCCCTGAGAACCAACCTCTGTGGCTCCTTAGGACGTCTGCCCCCAGGACAGCATGGCCAGTCTGAACACTTCTTCCTAGAACCCTCCTGCCAACCCCCAGCCCACCGCAGCCTCCCATTCTCACACCCTTGGGCATCAGCACACCTGTAGGGGAGTCTGGTCCCGAGGATGCCAGGGTATAGGCAGCATGTCCGCTGCTTCACTGTCCCAGATCACCAAAAGGTGGAGTATGAAAATAACCACAGGAGGAACTGGGCTCTGACACTCCAGGCTTCAAATGTCCTTTCCCCTAGGGTAGGTTGGGGAGTCGGGAGAATTTATCCAGGCAACCCAGTGGGGTATCTGGACAGTTGGCCTTCCTGTCCCCAGTATAATGCCATCACTGCCGCCAGGGGCGCTCCAGGCAGGCTGCGGTGGGGGATTCCTCCCATTGGTGGAGCTGCCCAGGCCACTTTGCAATAAACCTGTCTTCGCAGGACCATGGGGGTGTCTTGGTGGAAAGAGCTTAATGCTCCAGAACATCTCTTCACTCCCTAGGACAGGCTTGTGTTGAATGACATAAATGTGGGGTGGAAGGCACTTCCCCAGAGGTGAAACATCCTCTGGACCAACCAGGCTGCCCCACCTCACCCTGCCTATGTGCGGAACTGGCCACGGGGAGGTAGGTGCTCCAGGTTCTCCAGGAAAGAAGGCTCAGACCCCAACTCCTGCTACTCAGAGTCCACCTGGAGAGATGGTTGGAGAGACTGCTGAGGGCTCAGGGCGACAGGACCCAAAGCTCTCAGGTGGGAAGGGCAACAAGGCCACTACCTGAATTCACCCTGAGAGTGGCCTGGACAGGCTAGTGGGGCAACCCAGTACAGACTTGATATTCTTCTAGCACCAGCCCCATGGCTCTGGAGAGTCAGTGGAACTGGGAGTGCCATCAGAAAGTCTGCCTTTGGCACCAAGGTCACCAACTGGGCAGGATGCTGGGCTGGCTGAAGGCAGTGAGGCAGGGGCCCACCTTGGTCCTCTCGCCTCCTAAATTTTAGATGCAGGACTGACCTCTACCTGAGTGACCTTGGGGTTCCTGATGAGTTTGAGATAAGCCTTAAAGGGTGACTATGTTCCTCAGCTAAGATTAGGCCATGTGGGGACCTGAGGCCCATGGGAACACTGAAGCACTGCCTCAGTGCCCAGCTTCACATCCATGGGCATGTGCTCTCCCCTAAGCTGTCCTCCAGCCTACCCTGGGAAGGGAGCAGGCATGGTCAAATGGGCTGCAGATGGAGACTGAGTCCAGACAGATGAAACACTACCCAGGATGACACTGCAGTCAATTGCTGCTTTCAGTCCAGCCCCACACTCTGCCACACCTCCACAGAGCAGAGAAGAGGTGTGCAGGGCCTGGGGTATCCCTCCAGCCCAAAGCCCCTTCTCCCTAGGAATCTGAATTCTCCTGTGATGACAACAGCAACACCAAGGTTGCCCATCTTATTCCGCAGCTGCCAGATTCACCTGCTAGCTGGCTCCTGACAGGTATGAAGGCCACCTGCTGTTCTGCAGCCCTTGCCTGGGGTCCCAGGACTCTGGACAGGATCTGTCTTGGGCAGCCTTCTTCAGTCCAGCAGAGAATGCAGCCAGGAAGAATAGACCTGCAAGGTGGGGGGTGGGGGGGCCTGCAGGCCAGGTCTGCCTTAAGACCCCAGCACTGAGCGCCAAGACAGTAGGTCGTTCAGGGCCCTGCCAGCCCAGCACAGCTATCTGACCCATAGCCATCCTCGCCACCCCAGTCACACTCAGCCCTTGAGATAGGGCTCCTACGGCTGAGGAACTGATCGCCTAATTGTATTTAATTTAAATGTAAACAGCCTCCCACGCATGACTAGTGGCCACCATACCTGACAGTTCAGCCTTGAGGTTCCTGAGCCCCGTCACGCGGCGCAGCCCCCATCACAGAGAGTGCTGGCTGATCCGTGGGGTATTAGGAAATCCCTCACGGGCCTGAGGGCCCCCGAATGTACGGACAACATTGAGGTCCCGATACTACACTCCCCGGACCCACTGACCCCACCAAGAAGCAATCCTGTGTCCGGTGCCCCCAAGTGCAGCTGCTGCCCCAGGAGTCTGGCCCGGAGCCTCGGGTGGGAGCGGCGATTCCGCCTCCAGAGTCTCCCTGCGACGCCCGAGTAGGAAGCTCCGATCTTGGGGTTAGGGAAGCCACTCAGCTGTTCCGTGCCCCCGGCCCCGCGGACACGGCCCGGCTCGCGGCACCCCCGACCCGGCCCTCCCCACTCGGCAGCCCGTGTCCGGGCCCCGCGCATAGCGCCCCCGGCGGCAGCCGAGCGGAGCCC